GGTTTCTCTTTCCCTTCGTCTTTCTCTAAAATCAATCAATTTAAAAATTTAAAAATCTGTTCTCTTCTTTACCAGAATATAATTAGATTGATTGTGAAATCAAGGCCCTAGCTGGAATGTCATATTTGAGAAGGATGCTTATTTAATCAAGTAAGATAAGCCACTTTAAGAAAAAAAAATTGACTTTACTCATGGAAGAAATGCCTATGAAACCTTGCAAGGAAACCTGGCTCAGTGTCTAGTTTAGAGGATCCTAGACTCACAGGTGGTTATGAAGGTTACTAGGCCAAGAACCTAAGAGAATTTTAGGGACCTCAAGGAAGAAATTCATCCAAATTTGTAGATATTGCAGGTGTAATATGGTGAAGAATTTTGGAGGCTTCATTTCATAACCTCCAGATAACAAAAGAGAAGCTTTTAGAAGTTTAGTTCAATATTCCTTATGATAACTTCCAGACAGAAGTTAATATGGTAAGCCTTAGTATTAGTTCAATACCGTGCTACTGTAGATTTGCAAAGCAATCCCAAGGAGGCCTTGTGGTTAATTAACTTACGCCTGTTGCTCATATGTAAATAATTAGACCAAACATAATGAGATGAGCCTTTTCTTATGTAAGCAGAAATAATTTTTGATATTATGAGCATAAGTTTGGGACAAAAGATATTGTTGCAGAAAGGGGCTAAATATTATTACCAGGTTTATTTTCAATGAACACTAAGTGTTACCTAGTGTACTTACACAAGTTATCTTTTTCTACAGGTTTTCTCACCTTTTGTTTACTTTAACTGAGCTATTTTGCACACTGCAATTGTGGAAACCAGAATAGCAGTCCCCCCTTATCCACGGGGGATATGTTCAAAGACTCTCAGTGGATGCCTGAAACTGTGGGTTGTTGGGGACCACTTTGTGTGGTATTGGGAAAGGTAGCCCTGTGCGAGCGAGGCCTTGAAAAGGGCCTGTAAGCCTTGACTAGAAAAGTAGGAACGCTAGAGGCAGGCATGACCCGACACTGACACCAAGGGTACCCTGGGAGACCTGGCCTAAAGAATGCGATATAATTACTGGTGCCTGCTCTGTTTCCGCACTGCCCTGATAAGGAAAAACCAGGTGTTTGACCTCACAGCAGGGAGAAACTTCCTGATCCCCATCTGTACCAAATGTTCTGCAGACCCTGATCTAAATATCTATAACCTTTTGATATGGGTTGATAAGCTTTGCAAGCGGCTGTATACCCCTGTGCTTTTCGTTGTCAATAAAAGCCATTTCAGAGAAGGGCTCGGGCATTCTCCAATAGGGGGAATCGCCACTCCCTTTTCCACACAGACAAATCACACCCACAGCGGCTGGGAAGACTCTGCAGGACAGAGCCTCCCTCCTTACATAAACTATATTTTTCCTAAACATACATACTATGGTAAAATTTAATTTATAAATTAAACATCAGGATTAATAATAACTTAAAATAGAAAAATTATAATTATATACTGTAATAAATGTTGTAAAAATGTGGTCTGTCTCTCAAAATATCATCTTTTGAAAGGTAGGGTACTCACCCTTCTTCTTGTGATAAGATGACACAATGCCTATGTGATGAGATAAAGTGAGGCGAGTGACACAGACACCTTCAGAGTTGGGAGACCATGGGTGACTAAGGCCACAGAAAGTGAAAGTGTTGATAAGGGGGGGATGACTGTTTTTCAAATGAGTTTTGTGTGGTGGAGGCCAGTTTTGCATCTATTAGTAAATTCATTTCAACATTCTTGATTGCTTATATATATGTCTGCTCTTTGGTTTCTTTTTTGAAATAATTGTAACACCTCAATTATTCTGTCAATTAATATATTAAATAAAATCTTTGACACATATTTATTCTATATTTGTACAAACATCATGATTTTACCTTTGTCAGAAGGTGCTGGGACAATGAATCAGAAAATGTTTCTCTTATATTAACAGTTTCTTTTGGAAAATCTCATTGGGAAATTGTGGGCTCTGTGCTGGTAGAAGTTCACCCCAAGGAATGACTTTAGGAGGGAAGTGTTATCTGTGCCTGTGACAATACACACCAAGACCTAGACACAAGGCAACTTTTGAGACATAAGATATAACCATGCTGGTATAACTTGGAGTCAGGTGCAATTTGGTATGCTTTATTATTTAAATTAGCAGATGGAATATTCTCACTGGAAGCTTCTTTGAGACCTTGAATTGATCTACTGACTGCCAGTACACACATGTCTTTCTAGACAAACTTACTTACTCACATACATTTGCTGGATTAGGCTATGATCCAGAAAATGTAAGATGCAATAAAGTGTGTGGTAAGAGATTGTTTACATTCTTCTGGTTAAAGAGGGATATTAGCACATGCTAAGCCGGACTGGTTCCTTACAGAGGGATTTTAACTTAACAAAAGGTGGGGATTGGAGGTGGGGGTAGATTCTTGAAAGAATTCAAGTTGGCTACCAGTTAAGGAAAGGAAATGTTACAAATTTTGTACTGTTTGTCTCCTGGTCATTAACTGGATGCTGTATAACATCAAGTCTATGGTTTGAAAGGGAAGGAAATAATAATGTACTCTTTTGGGACTCTTGATTGGGAATATTAGTAATTTGGTAACAAAATCAAGGTAAACTGAGCAGAGCCTTTGTTCTTTTTTTTCCTTGTTATTTTATTTTTCAATTACAGTTTATATTCAACATTACTTTGTATTAGTTTCAGGTGTACAGTATAGTTAAACAATCACATATTTTACAAAGCCTCTGTTGTTAAAGCTGATTCTGCCAGTGAGAAAAGACAGACAGGAATTTTGGGAACCAGCACATGGTGTACAAGTAGCCAGAGGGAGGTAGAATCTGAAAAGAGACTGGTATTTTTTGTGGAAATGATCCTCAGAAGAGTAGAGTTGATTAGTGTGAGTTTGTATAACTTCTGGGGGGAAAAAGATAAAAGAGGAGCTGAATTTGTATCCACGAGATGCTACTTTTAGCACCCTAGCCAGAGAGTATGTAAGACTCTTGGGAACCTCTCTAGAGAAGATGGGAAAGCTTGACGTATAGATAGGAGAAGGTTGGAACACTGGAGGTTCGTAATAGACACTTGATATTTTGTGCTACTCAGACACAGTCACAATCTTGTCCTTTGAAAATGGGTCACCTTTCCCTGGTCCTTTAAGTCAAGCAATTTTGAACTGAATCTTGGACATTGCAGAATGTTATACAGTGAAGACTTCAGATTATATTTCTTCAAAGAGTGTTAATTATTACTACTTTAAGTGGGAAGTTAACTTGGCCAAACTTAAACTGTAAGTAGTTTCCCATGGGCAGAAGCTCAGATCTCTGCTCATTCCTTTTGTACTTAGCTGAGGTATTGGAGTCTGTCCCATTGATATATGGGTTCAGAGACTTGAGCAGAGTTTATAAACAGAATTTATAAATTCTGTTTATAAATTCATATCCTTCCAGGGATAATTTCTGGCTCATTTTTATCTCAAATCCCATCCTCACAACTTTCCAGGATCTGTGGTTGCTCTAAATTCCATTCTCTGATTCTTCAGGCCAGAAGGGAACTGTTTTCTATTAGGGTTTTCGGTGTACTATGGAGGACTAACTTTAGCCTGCCCTCCGGGTAAAATCTGTAATGATGGGAAATTCATCCTCTTCCGATCCTTCTTCCAAGTTTTGATTCTTCCCAAATCTTTTCACTTGTTTTTGTTTTTCAGTTTTTGGTTGTTTACTTTTTTATTTTTTGGTCTGGATTTTGTAGTTATTTGTGATGGGTGGGTCTGTCTGATACAGTCTTACTTGGCCAGCTGAGACATATACCACATGGTATCAGTGTATTGAGCCTGTTTTCCCAAATCATAACCTGATCATTTTATTGACTTTTCTAATTTTTTGCCTCACTTTTCCTTCATCCCATACATGCTTCCTAAACTACTTACACCAAGTCTTTATCATAGGGCCTAATTTAAAGGTAATATAAATTAGGATTCACTCATTTATTAAATCATTTGGTTATTCATACACATTATTTAATTTAATCATCTCAATAGCCCTTAGAAGTACACTGTGAGGAAAACTTAAGTATTATCTCTATTTGACATAGAACTGAGTTTTAGTGAGATTGTATCATGCCTATGATACTATATTTGATAAGTGGCAGAATCTAATTCCAAAGCTCGATATATCTGATTCTAAAATCTTAGAGTATTGTGTGTTTTGGATTACTTTATTTTTCTTTTTCCTTGCTTTTTCATATGTACAATGAGATAATAATGTATGTTGCAGAAATATTGTGTTAGTTAAATGGGATATTGTAGATACAGGACATACTGCCTATAAAATATTAGGTATTATATCAGTCAGCTTTTACCATATCAAAAACAATCTTAAATTCTCAGTGATTTACAATGACAAATACTTATTTCTTGTTTAGGCTTATATTGTCAGCTACTGGTTGGGTGTTGTGATTCTACCCCAGACTGCAGGCTGAGCCTTCTCCACATATCTCCTTATTCTGGAACATAAACTAAAGAAGAAAGCCTTATGCACAACATGTTTTTCTGATAGCAGGGAGCACAGAGCTAGGAGACTTTTGCAATCTTGCAATTCCACTAAAAGCTTCTGTTTGGAAGCGATATATAACAAATATTCTCTTGGCCCAAGCAAGTCAGATGTCCAAGCCCAAAGTCAATGGGCATGGGAACACATTTTATTCACAGAGAGGGAGGGACTATATAATTACAAACAACAATATAATCTACCACAGTACAGTAAGAATTTTTGCTTCTATGGTATAACTGGGGTAGAAGGTGGATTGTGAAAAAGGCAAGGATACAAGGGAGTATTTTATTAAGTGCCAAAAGAAAAAAAGAGTTCAGACAAGAACTGCTATGGACATTCAGAGAAAATTCATGTGTGAGTCACAAGGACAGATAAAGGTCTTATGGATGAGAGAAGACTTGCACTGGGTCTTGAAGTTGTTAGAATTTGGATGAAAGTCCTTCTAAGCAGTTGTAGCAGGATGAGAAAAGGTACAGAATTGAACTAGTTGGGCCTTATTGCTGGGGTGCTTTTTGAGGGGTATCACTGGAGGCAGGTTGGAGAGCTTGGATTTTAGGCAGGAGATACAGGGAGACCTTAGGAAATTTGGAGCAAGAATCAGAATTGAAAGGTTGTTTTAGAAAGATTGGCCTGGCTGTCCTGTAGGAGGCAAGACGGGTGGCAGAGAGTATTTCTCCAGCATTATACACAACAGTGTTCTTCTTTCTTCAAAGTTGTACACTGGTTCTGTGAGGCAAATATATGACAAAAATGTGGTGAGCATGACAAATATTTCCTCAATGCAGACTTGACTCCCACTAGTAAGAAACTGAAAATGGTCTTAATTGTTTTTCTCTGAATCTCCTGTCTGACCAAATAAAGAGCACGCTTTAGTAGGAGACAATACTTCCCACACAAAAAAACATAATTAATGTAATATATCAGATAGGCTGGATATACAGTGAAACGTGGCAAACTGGATAAAAATATTTGTGCACTATCATTTTATTTTGTTTTTGAACTAACCAAGGAAGGACAATTTGAAAAGTTTTCTGTTATGCACTTAAAAGAGAAACAGTTTCTAAAATTTTCCATCTTTGAATTTCTTAGCAAAATACAATGCCCAGAAGCTTTTGGAAAGCAGTGACAGTGGCTGTGGTAAGACTTTCCACATATTATTTTATTCCATTATTTTTCTATTTGTTGTTGTTGATTAATTAATGACCTGTGATAAATATCTGTTATGCTAATGTTGCTCTATTTTGGACTTTAAAATTAGCAAAGTGGTTTGAATGAGATTATTTGATTTTCAAAATTAGATTTATGATTACTTAAGTGGCAAAAAAAAAAATTGCATGTATTTTATCAACACTTAAACCAATCACTTAAAGTTAAAATTTTCTCTCAGATCCACTTGGGCCATTATTTTTTATGCCATGAGACTTCATTATTTTATAATTAATATGATATTGAAACTATGTATTACAGCACTTTAAAATATAGATAGATTCACATCTGCAGTCTTTGAGAGTGTGATTGAGGAAGAGAGAACAGACTGAACATTTATTTAGCTTTTGCTCATGCCAGGAACTGCATTAAGTGCTTTACTCACTTATTGTGGCAGTAACTCTATAAACTAGTTGTTATAATTACCCCTATTTCACATGAGGATACTCAGTCTTTGAGAAGTGAGGAAACTGCTCAAGGCTTCATAGCTAGCAGCAAATAAAGCTGGTGATCATATGTGGTTGACCTTAAAGCCCAATCTCCTCTACTACATAACGTCTCCACATTGTTCCTCCTATCTCCTAATCTCCTAATATGGTATTGATGGGATCTAGATTCCACATAGAATCTGGTACATATGTCTTAGTTAATGGATGGTCTATATGGCAGTGATCATGATTTTCAGAAGTTCATATTAAAAATGTTGAATTAATACCATAAACCCGGGAATTAAATTTACAATTTGGCACTTAAAAATATTTACTTATTGTAAAAAACAATTTTATTAACTATTTCACTAAATGGATATAAACTATACTTATATTATTTAAAATTTAGGTTGTTTTCAATTTTCTTTTTCACTGTAATAAACATTTTAATACATATAGTGCTTTATTTTGTATGGTTTCTTTAGGATAAATTTTTAAAGATTATTGGGTCAAAAGGAAGCAAAATAAAAAATAATACAAAATGTCCTGTTTAGGCAATATTTAATCTTCATTGAATTGAAAATCACATTGAAAATATTATGTTGAAATACTGATCGTATCAGGGGTCCAGCCTCAGGCTTACTGATTTGTCCTCACAGAACTCAGAAAGGCCATTATACTCATGGTTATGGTTTATTACAGTGAAAGGATGCAGATCAGCATTGGGAAAATGCACATGGTTGAAGTCTAGGAGAGACCTGACATAAGCTTCCAGGTGGTGCCTTCCACTGGAGTTGTATGAGGAGCCCTTAATCTTCCCAGTTATGACATGTGACATGTGTGACATTTGTTTTTTTGGGGTTTTTTTTTTTTTCTCATTAAACTGTTTTAATGGGTCTCAAAATTCTGTGACAGATTTTGGTCAAGTTGTTTCCATTAAAAAGTACTGATTTTAAAAACTAATAACTTAAAAACTGCCACACACAAAAAAACCAAATGGTCCACAAAACATTCTCCTTTCCTTCTGAAGGTTTTACGATGCATTGTAATCATTAACCAGTCCTTTACTATTAAACTTAAGTGGCCAATTGAGACAAACAGTTCTGAGACCGTTCTTCCACCACTGATTAAGACTGGGGTGGGAGGTGTTAGGGATAATATTCATTTAGCCTTCTGAGCTTTCTGGGCAGACTTGGTGACTTTGCCAGCTTCAGCTGCCTTCTTGTCCACTGCTTTGATGACACCAACAGCAACTGTCTGTCTCATGTCACGAACAGCAAAGCGGCCCAGAGGGGGATAGTCAGAGAAGCTTTCAACACACATGGGCTTGCCAGGAACCATATCAACAATGGCAGCATCACCAGATTTCAAAAACTTCGGGCCATCTTCCAGCTTTTTCCCAAAATGACGATCAATCTTCTCCTTCAGCTCAGCAAATTTGCAAGCAATATGAGCTGTGTGACAATCCAGAACAGGTGCATAACCAGCACTGATTTGGCCAGGATGGTTGAGGATAATCACCTGAGCTGTGAAGCCAGCTGCTTCCATTGGTGGGTCATTTTTGCTGTCACCAGCCACATTGCCACGACGAACATCTTTGACAGACACGTTCTTGACATTGAAGCCCACATTGTCCCCAGGAAGAGCTTCACTCAAAGCTTCATGGTGCATTTCAACAGATTTGACTTCAGTTGTAACATTGACTGGAGCAAAGGTGACCACCATGCCAGGTTTGAGAACACCAGTCTCCACTCGGCCCACAGGGACAGTACCAATACCTTGTTACTCCCACATTGCGACCAATTTTGTAGACGTCCTGGAGGGGCAGACGCAGGGGCTTGTCAGTTGGACGAGTTGGTGGCAGGATGCAATCCAGAGCTTCAAGCAGCGTGGTTCCACTGGCACTGCCATCTTTGCGGGTGACTTTCCATCCCTTGAACCAAGGCATGTTAGCACTTGGCTCCAGCATGTTGTCGCCATTCCAACCAGAAATTGGCACAAATGCTACTGTGTCAGGGTTGTAGCCAATTTTCTTAATGTAGGTGCTGACTTCTTTAACAATTTCCTCATATCTCTTCTGGCTGTAGGGAGGCTCAGTGGAATCCATTTTGTTAACACCAACAATCAGCTGTTTCACACCCAGTGTGTAAGCCAGAGGGCATGCTCACGGGTCTGCCCATTCTTGGAGATCCCTGCTTCAAACTCACCAACGCCAGCAGCAACAATCAGGACAGCACAATCAGCCTGAGATGTGCCTGTAATCATGTTTTTGATAAAGTCTCTGTGTCCTGGGGCATCAATGATGGTCACGTAATACTTGCTGGTTTCAAACTTCCATAGGGAGATATCAGTGGTGATACCACGCTCACGTTCAGCTTTCAGTTTATCCAAGACCCAGGCATACTTGAAGGAGCCCTTCCCCATCTCAGCAGCCTCTTTCTCAAATTTTTCGATGGTTCTCTTGTCGATCCCACCACATTTGTAGATCAGATGGCCAGTAGTGGTAGACTTGCCGGAATCTACGTGTCCAATGACGACAATGTTGATGTGAGTCTTTTCCTTTCCCATTTTGGCTTTGATTTAGTGGTGGTTTTCTCGACACCTGTGTTCTGGCGGCAAACCCGTTGCGAAAAAGCCATGTGTGACATTTGTATGTGAGTCAGGGAAACTCTCTTGAGCTTTGGTATCCAAGACATTTATTGCAGATGTCACATAGGTATGTGGTGCCCACATGAATACCTTAGCTACTCAATCTCTAGTGCCCCAAAGGCCAAAAAATGAGCTAGAAACACTCTTGTCAGGCAGGATAGGTGTTATCTCCGCTAGCTGTCAAGGGCCAGCTCTGTTAGATGGCTGATGAATTAATCCTTTATTGTACAATGGTGTAGAAATATTTCAAAAAGTAGGATTTTAAAATTATAATATAATCTTTAAAAAGCTTGGGAGGTGATTTAGTCCAAGTTTTACTTTTTATGGTCTGGGTAAGCTGTGGCTCAGAATAGCTAAATTATTGCCCAGTCACACAGCTTGTTAGTGGTAGAAAAAATGCATGAGGATTAAATGGGAGTTTTCCAACTAACTAAAGCATTTTGGAAATTAATTGTATAGTTTCACTGTTAAACACTGTTTTTCCTATTAAAAGCATACTCTATTTGTTCTCAGCTTTTAGAATGTAGAAATACCTCCAGCCTTTTTTTAAAATGCAAATATCCATGACCCATCTTCTGAAATTCTCATTTGGTAAATTTGGGTGGGACATAAGATTTTGCATTTTTAACCAAGTACTCAGGTGATTTCTGGTATTGATTGGTCAAGGACACTTTGAGAAACATAGAGTATACACATATAAATATTCCTATACCCCAGATTTAATCATGCCATTGTGTTTGGGGTTGGGTTTTTTTTTTTGTTTGTTTGTTTTAGCCAGTGACTGGCTCTCTGCTTTTTACCCAATTAAGTACCATTTTCTTCATCCTGTCATTACACTAACCACTAACTTCTACAATATAGCCCAAATGCCTTTTCAGTCACTATTCCCTAGAGCACTACTAGAATTGACCTTCTGCCATTGCCCGAATACTTCCTGTGCATTTTGATCTTTATACTGTAATTTGTTTCTGTTGTTCACGCACTGGAGTGACTGCTTCTTGTTTTTGTTCTCCCAGCATTTCTGCCTCTCTCTTGCTCCATGTGGTTGGGGGTGGGGTGGGAGGCTAGGTGGTAGGACTGTCAGTTGTGTGAGAGCTTAATAGTGGAGCTGCATGTGATCCAGATCTGGCCAATGACAGTGCATGATCCAATCTGGGACAATCAGTGATCTTCATGAGATAATATCTCATATAGCTATGGATACTGAGAGGGAAGTCCTCTGTTTCTTCCAAGCCTGCTGAACTAAGAAGATATAATTTTGTAGTTTTCTGTGGCTGTATCCATCCTATGTGACATGAAGGAAATCTGTCTTTAAATAGAAACAATGAGGCCCTCATACAAAGAGAGGTAGAGCCAAAATGTTAAGAGAAATAATAAACATAATTGGCGTTCTGTTTCAGTGCTGCTCAAGACCTGTCTCCTGTCTCCATCTCAGTTCTTCCC